GAAAGCCTCCGCGGCAGCCCGGCTCGGGCGCCCGCCTGGGGACGCGTGCACCGGCCCCACGCCCACGGCCTGCAGTCCTCCCGGCCTTACCTGGGGGCCGGAACCTGCCTGCGCACCGGCCGCCGAAGCTTTCCAGAGCCCTTGGCTCCGGGCGAGGACGACCCGAGTCCCGAGGAAGAGCCGGCGGGAAAGCGCCGCGCTGCACGACACGCAGGGCGCCGCCATGCTGGCGGTGGGAGACCCGGGTGGGCGTGGCGAAGGGGTGGCACTGCGCAGGCGCCGACGCGCGCCGTGCCCCCGAGGCTGTCGGGATGAGTAGGGGGCGTGCCCCGCGGGGCGGTGCATTTAGCCTCTGATTGGCTACAAGGCGTACCTGGCTCCACCCTGGGGCGGAGTCACCGAAGCAAGGGATTTAGCGGGCGTCTGCGCTGGCCTTTCCCCAGCCCCTGGACGCAGTTTTTGCGTCTCTTGGACTCCGAGGTCTGCACGGCTCTCTAAGCAGCGCTTCCTTCCATGCACGCTGCTGCACCGGCAGCCGCCTCTCTCTGAACCCTCGCCGCGCGGCGCAGGCTGTCAACTGCACCTCCCTCCGCGTTGTCCCGCGCGTCCGGGCCCCCGCAGTCCTCGCTCGCGTCCGGTGGGCCTAGGGCCGAGATGGCTGCGCGCCCGCCTTCCCACACTGGGGTTGCCCTTCCTCCGACTGCCCATGCTGCTCAGGGTCGGAGTCGAGACCGGCTCTGGCACCTGGCAGTCGCTGTCACACGGTGTCACTCCAGGCTGGGGACCAGCACCACCCAGAGCCCTGGTGCTTCCCAGCAAATCACATCCAATAATGCCCTCCCGAGGGGCTTCCACACCTGAAGGATCAGTAAAATAAAACAGAAAATCTGAAATCGTGCAAAGCGGTCGAGCCGTGTATATCATCAACCTACAAAATATTTTAACGTGAAAAAAGTAGAAACAGCATAATTTCAGAATGAATATCAGTGCTTTAAATGGAATGCATCCCCCAGTTGTTTTCATTGTTACGTTTTAAACGAGTGAAAGGTTCGTCCGAAACTGGCAGAGGTCCATGAACTAGCATCTGGGAGTCAAGGCTTTAAAGCTCGCTAAAATAGATGCCTTTAAATATCAGTTTCTACATATCGCAGAATTTTTAAAAATTTAAATGTTAGTAGTGGAAATTTAACCAACTAGAAAACAATCAAATGTATGGAAGCAGAACTTATATTATTACAATTAATTTATGCAGATACATATAAACTATGTACTGAAATTAGCATTCAACGTTGTGGAGAATTTTTCTTGTATTATAATTTTTTAAATCCATGTTACAGTCTTCTATTAGAATGCAGTAAAGCAAATGTAGCACATTTCCTACCTCGCAGCAATACTTGTGCTCATTAAATTTCCTGCGCATCCTTTGAGACTGGGGAGAAACACAGAACTACAGGTTGACAATGGGTGTGTGATTTGGAGAGGAAAAGATTGGAATGTGCCGCTACGCATTTAAAAAATCAAAAAAGTGTAGTTTATCAAATGGCTGAAGCTTTGTTTTGTTTTATGTTTCTCTCCTTTTCTCAGCACCTAACTGTGATACCGGTCAGTCAGTGCAGGTTCTAAAACTCTGGTATGATAGAGTTGTGTGTAAGTTGAGTCCTGATTCTATAGTCTGTTTGAAAACACCAAGAGAGTCAAAATATTGGACTAACAGCAGGTGTTGCTGAGATGAGGGGTAGCAGTAAATGTTGGTAGGACTGTAAATTAACACAACTCTCATGAAATGAATAAACTAATCAGCGATCTGCTGAAGTTAAGGCAAGGACACCCAACAGCAATCACTTGCATTTCTAGGTATACTACCCTGTAGAAATTCATGTACACTGTAGCAGGAGACATGTATAAGAATGATCACAGCAATCTGTGTGTATAAAAAATTAACCAGAAGGGTGGGTAAAGGAGGACCATACAGCAACGATAACAAAGGAACCACAGCACATATAGGTGTACGTAGAGGGTTCACCCCATGGAATGAAGGACGTACACATGTGTACACACAGTGTGACAGCACTGCGCAAAGTTGAAAACAGGAAAACTGAGCAAGATATTGCCTAAGGGTTTATTCCCCAGGTAGTAAAACCATAAAGCAAAGCAAGAGAAAGGTAGGCACACGATTTAGGGTAGTAAATACCCCGGGAGGAGGGCAAAGGGTACCACGACAGTGAGCAGGGCGACTGCTTGGTTTATGGTCGTTAGAGCAGTCCTGTGGGCACACCGCGCGGGTTTGAAAACGCCGTGCCCTGTGCAGAGGACGCTCTCTCTAGTGCAAGCTGGATGGAAAGACATGCCCAAGAAGAGAATGAAGCAGAGGTTTTGGTGGATACGCTTGGATTTTAGTCATAAAAAGTGGCCTGCTTCATGCCGGCTCCTCTCTCCTGAAAGGTGCTGTGTTGGTTTGGGGCTTATTTTGCAAGGGGAACAACATAATACAGGACACATACTTTATATGATTATTTTATTTAACCCAAAGAACAGTATACAAAAGAGTGCAGGAAATCTGTCCACACACTAAGACCAAGGAATCCAGCTGAGGGCCTGGATCCCACAACAATGTCCTACATGAGTTGAGCTGAATACCCAGAGCTCATAACAATGCCTCCATGAATCCAACTGGAGGCCCAAAACCCATGACAATGTCTCATGCAGACCTGTTTCATGGATCTGCTGGAAAGGCCCAAAGGTCAGTGGTGGAATCTACAAAGTCTGTGCCAGCAGGAAGAAAGATCTGTGCTAGTAGGCTGAGGGATCTGCACTGGAGCCAGGAAGTGATGCTCAGAAGAACCAGAGCTCCCCCAAAAGGTACCACAGCCATCGTCGGCAACAGTGAGGTCCCGAGCTCCTCCGATGACCAGGATGGCCGAGTTCCCATCAGGGAAGCCAACGCAGCAAGCTTTTCCAGGAGGCCGGCAATGCACCATCTTCCCCTCCGGAACCAGGAAACTATGCTCAAAGTGAGGACCAGAGCTCCCCAAAGTGAACTGAAGCCATTCTCAGTGCCAGCGTGGTCCCGAGCTCCTCGGAGGATGAAAACAGCCAAGTTCATCAGGAAAGCCAGCTCCCCACGGTCTCTCTCAGCTCGCAACAGCTTCTCCCAGCTCCCAACAGCTTCTCCCAGCTCCCAACAGCTTCTCCCAGCTCCCAACAGCCTGCCTCTTCTTCTCCAGGTCTGCCTCTTATGCTGCTGACAACAGTCCTCAGGTGGGCCTCCCACACCCAGCACCACTCACTCAGTTCAGCTGGGGGTTATAAGTTGACCACCAGTTATCAATCCACTACAGGTGCTTTCCGAGAACAGTGGATGTCGGTGCCCACGTGGCCTTCGAGTGGGTCCCCCAGCCGAGCCTTCCTAGGCCTGCAGCCTCCCACCACGTCCCAGCTGTCACCTTAGGAGACACCAAGCCAGAACCAGCAACGCTGTGAGCTAACTCACGTGTTGTACATCATTGAAGTGTGACTTAACGGAGAGCTCATAAACCTGGGAATTGCTAGAGATGAGAATCCTTGGGCACACTGTAGACTGCTGTGCCCGGCCCCAAGGCTCAGCATAAAGCCCTCCAGACAAATTTTTTTAGTTGACGATTTGTTATTACGTGTAATCCACCAGCAGTGCCCTTCTCCCACTTCCCATTTGTTCCGCTGGCAGATTCCTCTACCTCGTTACCACCATCACTATTACGACTACGCTGAGAATATTTAACACGAGCGTTCCCACTTTAACCGTTTCAAGTGATTTGGATGCATTCACATTGCTGTGCAACCATTACCTCCATCTCTACCCAGAGTTTTTTCACCTTTCCTCACAGAAATGTTGTACTCGTTGCACACTAACTCCTTACCCCAACACACACACACACACACACACACACACACACACACACACACACCACACAGCTCCTGGCAACCACCATTCTACTTTCTGTCTGCATCGAGTTGCCTATTTTAGAGGCCTCATGCCAGTGGAATCACACAGCATTTATCCTTTTACGGCTGTGTTATTTTACTTAGTGCAGTGTGCTCAGGATCCCTCCATGTTGTAGCATGGGTCAGAATTCCTTTTGAAGGTTGAACAATATTCCGTTGTATGCATGGGTCTCATATTGTTTATTCATACTTCCCTTGATAGACACTTGATCTGCTTCCACCTTTTCTGTACTGTGAATAATTCCGCTGTGAACATGGGTGTCTAAATATCTGCTCAAGTCTCCACCTTCAATTGATTTGGGTATCTGAGGTGTTATTTAAGAATATGGTGAATGCTTAAATTAGAAAAATGTATTACAGTAAGAGACACATTATCATTAACCGCCCTCTAAATACTCCTCCTCACTTTGAACGCACTTAGCCCATTGTTCTTGCCACTTTCCACAGCAGTTCTGGAAGTGCTCTTTCATGAGTGTCTTGGTGCCATCATGGCTGCCTCTATGTCCTTAATTCAAAACATTTACCTTTCCTAGTCATTTTGACTTTGGAGAAGAGCCAGAAGTCACATGGTGCCAGTCTGATGGATAAGGTTGATGAGGATACACTACGATATTTTTACAACACTACCTTTCCATTGGATGGCACTTGGTAGCAGTATTCACTGTGTTTTTGATTATACCCGCTAAAGATACTCATGAAGGAGGACTTTCCAGAACTGCTTCAGAAAGTAGCAAGAAAAATGGGATCAGTGTGCTCCACTCCAAGTGGGGTAGGGGGCATTTGTAGGGGGATTAATGGCAATGTGTCTTTTACTGTAGTCAGTTTTTTTTTTTTATTTAAACAGTCACCCTATAGTTTAACTACAACTTGTGCACTTAGAAATGCAATTTCAGATTTTTAAAAAGGTAGTCAGGTTTCTAACTTAATCCACATAGGCAGGTGCCTAGAACAGAAAATGTAGGTGATATTTAAATCTACAACTTGAAAAGTCTCTAGTTATCAAGACCACCCCTAGGTAGGCAAACAGTATACATGATATAGGAAAATGAGCAATGTGAAATTCACTGAGATGGCAACATATTTAGGAAGTAATTTCCATATACAATTGCTACATAGCAAGCTTCTCTAACCATTTAAGAACAAAATCTGCCTCAGCCTAGAAGTAAATCTACTCTTTGGAGACGCATATATTTTATCGTATCAATTGAATTTTAATAAATAACAGATAGAACAAGTATCTTCTGTGATTCTTTTTTCCACTACTCAGTGTGGACCGAATTCCTCCACATCTGCTCC